CGCTACTAGGAACAAGTGCCACGCTACTAGGAACAAGTGCCACGCTACTAGGAACAAGTGCCACGCTACTAGGAACAAGTGCCACGCTTCTAGTAACAAGTGCCACGCTACTAGAAAAACTCGATGCGATGCACTTGTTCCTAGTAGCGATGCACTTGTTTCTACTAGTAAGGCACTTGTTACTACTAGTAAGGCACTTGTTCCTACTAGCGTGGCACTTGGAACGGATTGTCAATTCGGATCCGAAGAGAAATCGTTCTTCGGCCTTCCTTTCTGTTGGGGTTCATCAATTCGGCCTCAGAGTTGCATGCACAAAGTGCGACACGATGTCCATCTCTTTGATGTGATTTTCAATAAAAGCACAACATTTTCTCTCTCTTTCTCTCTCTCTCTCTCTCTCTTCGTCTTTCTCTTTCTCCTTATTATGTTCCTTTCTTTTCCGATTATGGACCCTTAAACCTTTCCGTGCACATCTGGGTGACAGTGCATTAAAGCGGAACAAGCCGTCAAAGTCTTGGTAGCTGTACTGAATGTGCAACCTCGGGCGCATTGCAAGGGCAGTCACATCTGCTTTTTGCACTTTGCGAAAGCGGCCACTTTTGGGTGCTAGTCACATCAAAGAGATCAAGTGTCCCGTGACATCTAGAAACCGATATTGTTCATGCTCAGGCGTCCAAGCCTGAGAAGCTTATACTATTAGAAACAAGTGCCACGCTAGTAGTAACATAGTGCCTTACTAGTAGTAACAAGAAGCTATTAGAAACAAGTGCCACGCTAGTAGTAACATAGTGCCTTAAGCGAGAAGCTTATACCTTAAGCTACTAGCGACTCTCGCCTACCGCATTGAAGAAAGAGAGCTGCTTGGCTCAGTCCTTTGAGTTCAGCCGAGCAGCTGATCTTGTGATTCGAGGCCATAAGTCTCGAAAGTCACCGCACGCCGTTTGGTGTGGTCGTAGACATTGATCAGAAAAGTCTGCAATCCAGTCATACAGGCAACATCTGGGGTAGGCCGGAAAAAAAGGGAGAGGTAGCAAGGTAGGTAACTAGTAGAAGGGTAGCTAGTACCTTTCTAGTACGCTACTAGCATGGACGCAGGATAGTTCACGCTTCTATTCATTTGGTTCCGAGATTTTTAGGGAAACTTAAGTTCATTCATTTGCTTTGGGAAGGTTGCGTTCATCTGTTCATAGTCTTGAAACACTGCCTTCCCTGGATTTCCAGTCACTGCTCTGCTTGATCGTGTGGATAGCTCTTCTTTGCTCTTTTGTTCTCTACCTCTACCTACCTATCTACCTACCTACCTCTCTCTCTCTCTCACTCGTTTCTCGTGCTTTTTGGCACGTTCATCTCAGCGAAAGCAGCATAGTCGCCTCTCCATTGAAGACCTTGCTTTCTTGGTACACCAAAGGACCCTTGTCCTGAAGTCCAAAACCACGAAACACCCAAGATGGGCTCGAATCTCCAAATCAGTTCCAGCTTTGCAGCTCTGCGAAACCTTGCATTGGGCAGAAGTAGTAGACAGTAGTAGCGCATTTGGTCCATCTGATGTAAAGACAATGGTAATTTCTTATAGTGCCAGAAGGAGTAGTCGTCCTTGTCTGCGGTTTCCAGCTCTTAAAACAAATTCTGTAAAGAAATAAAAGAAATAAAAGAAAAGAAAGAAAGAAAGAAAGAAAGAACATGAGACAAGACTTGTGTGGTCCGAAAGACACATGATGAAATAGGGCATTCTCTGGCAGCGGTGGAGAAGCGTCCTTCTCATCATAGGCCTCCTCCTCTGCTGCCCTCAGTATTAAAAAGATCACTCACCTTTCTAACAATAGCAACGGCCGCCTACTCTTCCTGTCTTCCTGTGCACTTGTCCAATCAACAACCCGCAACAGGCTCCAAACACCAGACCAAAACTAGGGTGGAGGCCATCGCTATTAGAAACAAAGAAAAAAGCAAAGGAAGAAAGGTCTATTAATAGTAGCTTCTTGTTCCTAGTAGTATGGCCAGGAGCCACTAGTAGCGTCCTTGCTCCTAGTAGCGATGCCCTTTGTTCCTAGTAGCTTCTTTGCTACTATTGTTTGCTATTAGCTAAAATCACTCTTGGCCATGGACATGTGGCCTTGTGGTGAACCTGGCAGCTGCTTGGAGGAAGCTCCCGTGGCGTGTGTCGCAAATCTTTGGAAGGACTTTCATTGAGCATGCTGGTTCGCATCTTGGCATGTTGGTATCTTTATTTCTCATGTGTTAAACTTCGGGTTTATGAGGCACGTGAAACATGTTTGACACTTGTTCCGTGGATGCTCGATGCTTGACCTTCCTTGGCATTCCCCCCACACCGCACCTGCCGGGAACCCAGGTGCGCCCCGGACCCTTGAGAGCCAACGCCGCAAGCGACACAATCTCAGCATTCGCTACGAATGGAGCAAGGACGCTACGAACCGGGCTCCTGGCCTTACTACTAGGAACAAGGACGCTACTAGGAACAAAGGGCATCGCTACTAGGAGCAAAGACGCTCCTAGAGGCTTCCTTAAGACTTCCTTTTGATTCTCTGCTGGGCTTCCACGTCTTCTCTCCTAAGACTTCCTGCCTTTATGGTTTTTGATATTTCCTTCATTCTGACGTTCGCTCTTTTCTTCTTTCGATCTTTAGACCTTGTTCGCAAGTTGTTCTCTCTTGGAGCTAGACAAGGCTTGCTTTGACACATCTGCTTCTCTTGAATGATTCAGCCTTCGCACTTTCTACATGCTCGGACGGGCACAACCAGCAAGTTGCGCAAACAAATGAACACCATTTAGTAGTATGCCGAGCCAGCAGAACTGAGACATTATGTTTTACGTGTTGTCACAACGAATAAGTTAGGCCATCGCTATTAGGTTGGGGGGCCATTGCTACTAGGTTGGACTGAGTTAGTAAGCTTCGCGATTGCTATCTGCGTCTATGAACAGGTGTTGGCCGAGGTGTCTTCGACAGTCCTCGCCTTGGAACCGGACCTTTGCGGCAAACCTAATTGATGTTTTTCTGGACACGGTGGTCGGTTCCAACACGATCGTTTCAAAAGTCAACGGGCCTTGTACCCAAAAATGAATGAACACAGCAAGCCGTGTTGTCGCATCAACATCAAAGCTTCACCGGGATTCCTCCTCATCGACTGCCTTGCAGCACTCTGGACTCTGAAACTTTGCGCTTTCGATTAGGATTCCTAAGAACAGAACATGGCATCGCTACTAGGAGCAAGGACGCTACTAGGGGCTCCTGGCCGTACTACTAGGAACAAGAAGCTACTAGGAACAGAAGCAGGTCGGAGTGAAGAACGTCTAAGTGCGGTCCGTAGCAACGAACGACGAAGCGTCGGCAAGCCGAGTACGTCGAAAAAAGCGACGTCGAAGAAATCGTCGAAGAAATCAACCTGAATTCGCACCCCAATTCGAGCAACCGGGAAAGCTGTGTTGAGACTTCCATCTTCACCGCATATTGGCATATATTGGCACCTCCACTGCGAGAGAGGAAGGTAAAGGGGAGGGCTCCGCCGACCTTAAATGCTCAAGAAGAGCTTTCACGCACAGCCTTGACCCGTTGAGCTCTTGAATTCCATGGAGCAAGCAGCACTTTCAAAGCACTGCAAAAGGCTAGAGCAAAAAGCAAAGGAAGCAACGGGTCGCGTCTGTCACTTGAATCGGCGTCCTCTCAGCCACCCACTCGGTGAAGAGTGACCGTGATGACATGTTCATTGGTACACCTGAGAAAGGAACAAGAAAAAAACACGTCGTCTAAGGGTCTAAAGAGAAGCATAGAAAAAGGAGACAAGAACATAGTTTTCTGATAGGACACCTGAATTCTACAGGCATTCTTGCAAGTGTCAGTTCGTGGGTTAAGGGATGGTCCCTCGGGCAAAATCACGGCTTAAGAGAAGGCAGGTCACAGTGTCTTTATCGAAAAAAACCAACATGCCCCTGCTTAGCTCACTACCAACCAGCCAAGGTGACAAAATGTCATCACGGATGAGAGCACCTCAGTGAGACTTGGTTCAGTTGACCTTTCACAAGAAGTTCTGGATAGATATGGCATGATATGGCTGCCGCCTTTCATTCCTGAACCATCAAACAAATGTGCTACTGATTCGCCACCAAAGGAGTGCTGCCACCAAATTCGGAGTCCCGACTCTCTGCGCGGAAATCCGTGGAGTCCTGCAAGGAGATCAAAAAGGCCAGAGGACTTGAAGTCTAGAAGTTCTTCAGGACTTGAAGCCGGGAACAAGATGCTTTTAGATGTCTTTAAAGAAGGACAAAGACAAATTTATTTATAGATTATTTTAAGACCTGTTAAAGCATCTTGTCTTCTTTCAAGACATCTGGTCCAAATGTTTCAAAAGAATGCAAAATGCCTTTAGATGTCTTCTGTGTTTTATTTCTTGGCACAAAGTGGACGTCACAGGTGGAGCAACGACATGAAATTGACTTGCTATGATTTGCAACATCTGAAATGTGTCAGCGTCAGTCTCTGCACAAAAGCTACAAATGAAGTGTCTAAGAATCTAAAGAAAAAACACAGCAACATGGTTAGTCAGGGCTGCCGCTTGCCTGCGCATCAAGCTCCTGGAGACGTTTGGAGTCAGAGTAGAGATGTGAGTGGAACAAACCAAAACACCAAGACGTTTGTGAGTAATCCTCTCCAACCCACAGTAACAAAGAAGCTACGATCGGGGGCTCCTGGCCGTACTAGTAGGGGCAAGGACGCTACGAACGGGGCTCCTGGCATCACTACTAGTAGCATTCTTACTACTAGGAGCAGCGCCCAGGGTGGTTCAATAACCCTCAAGTCTCGGCACGAAAAATTAGGCCTCGGCTCTTGGCCTGCAACCGTTTTGGTCAGGGCAAACACCGAATTGTTGAAGAAATCAATGCAAACAACAATTCGCTCCGGCGGCAAGACAATCCCAGCACACCGAAGAGGGCATTTCCCATGCCTTAGAGGCTTGGTTTCCAGAGTCATAGAGTGATAGCTGATCGCTGACTCAAAGACTTGTTCTACCAAGAACTTTTCGCTTGGGTCTTGGACTACCCGAAGACTACTCCTTATCGGGCGTTATTAGTAGCTTCTAGCTACTAGTAGCGATGCACTTGTTACTACTAGCGATGTCCCTGCTACTAGTAGCTTCTTGCTCGTAGTAGTAAGGCCAGGAGCCCCTAGTAGCGTCCTTGCTCCTAGTAGCGATCCCCGTTGTTCCTAGTAGCGTCCTCTACCCCCCCACGCGCGCGCACGCGCGAAAAGGTCCTAGTAGTTTTCTTTGCTACTCATTTAAGTTAAATCCGAATTCAAATTCTATTTAAATGTACTTCTAATACTAATTCTTGTTTCTACTAGCAAACCTTGTATCTAGTAGGGATGCAGGAGCCCCTAGTAGCGGTGCCCTTTGCTCCTAGTAGCGATGCCCAGGCTCCTAATAGCGAGGCTTTGGTGAGCTGAGTCCAGCACATCGAGCCCTTGGCCTCTATCCTTTGGTCGCTGAGCATCCGGCTGGTGGAGCCATTGGCTCACACACCTGGCATCCAACCCATATCACCGTGATGCAAAGCGGTTTCTAAGAAGCGTCCTTGCTCCTAGTAGTAAGGCCAGGAGCTACTAGTAGCGTCCTTGCTCCTAGTAGCGATGCCCTTTGTTACTAGGAGCTTCTTGTTCCACTTGATACAGTGAGGATTCTTCAAGAGAGCTTCTCCTAAGCTTCCTCCAAGAAAGCTTGCTCTACTCTACTGCGTCTGCATGCTACCAGTACCTTCCTATCACTACCACTTAACGATCTAGCTACTACACTCCCCTAAACTGCAGAAAATAAACAAGAAAGATCGTTACTCACTCTGTGATGCAAACCTCATTTTACTTGCGTGGTTTGGTGATGCTGAGCTCTTCGAACCCAAAGAAAACATTGAGGGTTTCTTCACATATTGAAGTCTCTTCAAATCCTGTGTTCGAAGTGAGTCTTCTCTTCTCTTCTCCTCTCTAGTGATGATTTTGCAGTCTTCAGTCACTCCAGTCTCCCCAAATGCTAACACCCTGAACCCTGACTGCTTCCGTATCCCTCTTCGCTGAACCAATCTTGCATGAATAGGCCACCCTACTCCATGTGGAAAATGTGGCCACATGGTAGCCGTGCCAGCGTGTCACCTTGCCTTAGGCGAATGAAAGATCCTCTGAATGCACATAAAAAGGTTTAGTCAACAGGTTGAAAGAAGTTGGAGGCCATCGCTACGAAATGCCAAAGTCTTGGTGTCTCCGCATGGTGTAAACGAAACATGCCAAGTTTGGCCATGGTTCAAACGGGTTGTCTGTGGGTATGGGACCGGTTCAATTTGGAAGCAAACTCTGCCCAATCTGACTGGGTTCAACTTGGCCAACTGGCCAACTGCCCTTTAAGTAAACCAAGGATGTGTGTATGTATGCATACAACAAAGGAATGCCTGCGTATCCTTGACCATTGCTGTCCAGCAACGCGAAGTCCGCAATGCAGATCACGCAGGTCGGCTCAAATTTGGCCTCACGATATGGAAGACGAAGCAAACATGGAAGCGAATGCATAATGCTTGTCTTCCTTCCACTTGACATGGTTTTTTGTCACGTCACTCTTTTTAGACACCCTAAAGGGCCATGATTTGTCCTTGATTGGTTCAGCAGGCTTGACTATAGACTCATGATTGATGGTAATGCAAGTACAGTATTGGGTTCCTCTCCCGATCAAACTCTAAGTAAAATAAGAACTTCTTGTCAGCGCTGCAGGATGCTGCACATGAGCATTTTTCGGGTGTCAAGGTTTGGACTTGATGCAAGGTGCTCACCGGCGTGTCCGGCCAATTCGATGCTATCTACACACTCATGCCTCTTATCTCCGATGCGCATTTCGACCACAAAAGGGACTTTTCGGTGCAGAAGATGGGAGCCGTTTTGCGATGCGCAGATTTGTGTGCTCTGATTTGGTGGCAAGTGCAATGAACCGTGAACTTTGGACAGGTGGCTCGTGTTTAGAATTTGCCAGATGTCTCGCTCGAAAGCAGTATTCAAAAAACTGTCCCTGGAAGTGCTTTTGTTGCCAGACGCACTGGCAGGGCTGCGCAATGTGAATGTTGATGTGCAGATTTCATAGCAGGCGGCGCAGCACTTTGTAAACCTCGAAGTGCAAATTTTGCAGGCGCGATTCAGTGGCAAGCACGGCATGCTGTCGTGGCAAATACAGGACTTTGCGGGCTTCGGGCAAATATGTGCTTGCAAAAGCAGCTCTCCGTTGATTTTGTGGTGCGAGAACATCCACATGCAGGTGCACAAGCTGCACAAGCTATTCTTGTGGTTCACCCATCCGTGATGCATCCTCCTCATTGGCAACCTGCAATCTCCCTTATAATTGTGGACTTATGGCAAAGGCTTTGCCTAGTTTCAGTCATGATGAATCACAATGTGGAGTCAAAAGAGCAAGGAAAAATCGCATGTACCTCCAAAACCCTACCACCAAGGAACCAAGAAACCAAGAATGTGTAAATATCGGACAGTTGATGTTTGCAGATTTCGTAAAATTTCGGGGTCATCTACCTCCAACCACACCCAACTCACTGAGGGCTGGCCGAGTCAATCTCATCCGCTCCAGCAGTGAAGGTCTGGGCAGCAAAAGGGCGGCTTTGCTGTCAAGCAAATCGAGGCGCAAATCTGGCATTCAAACCGAGCCCAACATTGGACTGAGAACTGACGGGTGCTGTTGGGAAACAGCAAAAGGAGATGAAA